TCAAAGTTCATTTCTAGAATCAGTAACACATGTTCAGGTCCCATTCGCTGCAAGTGAAAACCGTATTCAAAATATAATTGATGCATTTTCAAGTTGGAGTGTAATTTAGTCATTGTGACGAACTGATCTTGAATCCCCGAATAGCCAATCGCGTCACCGCGTAAGTTCGGATGGTCTAATTGCCACGTCCACCAATGACCGGAAACTAAATGCAACTTCCCTATCGGCCTGATAAGCGAAAGTTTGGACCGAGCGGATAGATAACACAAACAAGCTTTCTTAAATTTGTTAGAAATAGTAGCAATAAATACAATAGAAATAGAAGCAAAGAAATGAAAGCAAATCACAACTAACGATTTTTACAGAGGTGCGGCATATGAATTAAGCGAACTAACAAATTAAATGCGTAGGAAGCTAAAGTGCGAGGAGAGCAAGATGAGAGGAGAGAGCTAGAGCATGGAGATCTGAGAATAACGTACGATCCTACAACAGAAACCAAAAGTAAATACCTACAAACAATAAATCAATATAATTACACAAATCACGATATTTCACCATGTAGTCATATTTCAATTTCACCACTATCGCACGCAACTCACCCTGGCATCTGAGACAAAATCCTATAAGAAAGGAACCAGTATGCAGGTCGGGATCGGCATCGTATCTGATGGCTGTAAACAATTCAGCGTCCACATCAGAGCCGGTCCTACTTAATCTCTGTGGTCTAACGGCAAGTAGTGGAAATCTGCATTAGCCTTCATTACAGTCATTAAACTCTCGAATATGTCATCTAATATAGTCATTCCTAAGCAGTGCGATAACTGATCACCTCCAACGATCAATTACTTATAAATCCTTTCAATCAACCTGTTTCTGTAGTTTTTGGTTTGAATGAATGCCATGTAAATTACTTTTTGTTCTATTAAATTCATTCATCAAATCTATTGAGAAGTTAGACTTGATTTTATTCTTACAGGTTCCAAAGTATTTTATTTCAAATTGAATGCTCATAATTTAAATGCTACTTCAACCAAATCGAGTGAATCAATTCATTATTTTCTCCACTGGGAAATTGCGGCATACAATATTACTGTATTCGCGGGGATCATTAAGATCAATTCGTAATTTTGAGTCTCGATCTCAATTTCTAAAGCTGCAGAACCTTCAACTATTCGTCCCATATTTCTATCGTCCAACTTCCCACTCCTCAAACTGATTTCTATTATTTCCTTAAAATTATCTCTCATGATTACAATGTACTACCGCACTGACGAATAATACCTCAGGTTAGGGTTTTTTACTAAAATTATCTAGTATATTTTGTGTGAAATATGTGATCTGATAACCCGCGCTAAATTTGACCGTTCTTAAATTAAATTCATTTCTTCAACAGTATTATTCCGTTATCCTGCTCCGTCTACTGGCTGGCTTACCTTCTTTATTTGGGAGCGCAGCCGTCCACCAATTTTGTGCACCAATAAGCCCTGAATCAAACTCCGGACATCCACCAATCAGTCGTGAATCACTCGGCTTTGTCCTCCTCCGGCCTTGCATAAAACCTGCCGTGCACCAGCGGATCGAATCACCCGCAGACCGCGGATCGAATCTGACTTCCGGGCATCGTTAAATTACGCATTTTACGTTCACCGCATCTGAGGCTAGGCTTCAGATAGCATAGTTCTGTTCCAAAATTTACCGTCCTTCGACGAGTGTCCGTTCGACCGAGGGCTGGTTCGACGCACGGCCTAGATATAATTGTCCAGGAGTGTTGAAGGCTACGTTCTGGAAGGCAGGAATCATGATGTTCCATTACATCCAGGAAAGTGGTGGTCTTCGGCAGGCGACCCCTTTATTTTCCTTACATCAACCTGTATTTTCCGGACAAGCTACCAACCACCGACCTGCAACCTTTTGGAACGTTTTTATTTGCATCCTAATTGGGATTCGGCTGTTGAAACGGAGAGTTTTCAAAAATTTAGAAGTACTTCAATTTGCATTTCTCACTGATCAAATTCCTAAACTTGGTGAATTTAGGACATAGCCATTCTATTGCGATGAAAGAATAATTCTACGTGCTTTGCTAGGCTCCGGTCATGGTTTGGCGGGTGATATGGACAAATTTTTCGAAGTTTTTTAACTTCGAAAATGATGAATAGCTTTGGCTATATGCAACTTTGAGATCCAAAAATTTTGCTAAATTCATTATTTATCACGGCGAACACAAATAAACAAACATCGAATGTAAATTCGAGGAGTGAAAATTTGTTGTGGGTTTTTCGTTTCCAAGTAAAACCATTAAAATATTTCCGAAGAGCTTTTTTCGCTTCGAATGAGACCTCGGTCATCTTTCTGCGTAAAAAAAAACCATCAAATTGTTGATGTTTAAAAATGTGCATTCCCTAAAGCCAGCGGTATCTACACAAATACCGGTGGAATTAGACGAGGTTCGTTCGCGTTCGCAATGATCATTCTCCATTCACTTGCGAATAAGAAGTGATCTTACATTTTACAGAAACAGATACAGATCTTACATTTTTTTGTTGTTCTGTGTCTAACTAAAAGTGACGCTATAGAGAAATTATTTATTGGCGAGAATCCGACTTAGCTAGTAGCTACCTTAGATATTGTGTTGAACTTGTAATAATTTAATTTACCTATAGTAATTTATTTATATATGTGGGTAATTTCACTATGAATGGGTTTAAAAATGCGAAAGATTACTCACAGGGTTAAAAAATCGCTGGCGATACTACTTTTGACGATAAATGCTGTGACAAAAGACCACGTACTTTATCATGATGTTTTCACCTCGCCTAGAGCAGGGGCAATGATCTGAGTACCATAAACAATGTGTCGGCAAAAAAAAGATACATTGAATACAGAACAATGACCGTAAAATGCATGATACATCAATTAAGCATCATGACATCCTGACTTATATGGCCTAATGATTGGTCATGATATGGACTAATATGACCTCCTGACTTGTTTCGGTTATAGAATCAAATTCGGTCGTAACTTAACTTTCACTGAAAACTAACATTCATTGCATGTTCAGTGAATTTCTGCCAAAAGCCATGCATCCAAGTGATTCATAAGCCATCCTACTAGGTTATTGTAAAAATTACACCTGCGGCTAGAGCCATGATCATGGCTTTGTCATCGCAACGGGAATGTCTCGTAAAGGGAAGCTGTGACCCTTGGTGCCGTAGGTTATAAAATTTTCAACCTATAGCGAAAGTTATTATACCGTTATAATCAGCGTCGCAAGAGCTTTCTTAACGGGCCAAGCTTTCTATTGTTGACGTTCATTTGAGTTTTTGAGACCGGCCAGTTTCGTTCGTTTGCATTGACTAAAGATCGTAGTTTAAGTGAATATGCTTGACTGTATTAAACCAAGTAAGATTAACTTAGGTCAATAATATGCAGTTAACAGTTGTTCGATCAAATCAGCACCACAAACTCTGATTATTATTTGTTTGCGGCTTCATAATTCATACTGCCGCCATAGTTTCCAGCAAGACCGATTAAAGCATCTTGTTGTCGTACGAGGTTCACGCATGTTTTAATAAACTATCGCATACAATTTACGTATCCCATACTGTTCATATCAACTCACTTTCCGACCACGTAGCTCTAAGCTCATGATTGGGTTTTCGTGCTCCTCACCTTATTTTTTATACCTAGAAATCTTAAGTACTCCATATCCGCACATAATTATGACGATTACTCTTAACCTGCGTATGAATAATTAACTATTAATTTGTAGAATATAACAGGACTACTGACAAACTCAAAGTTGAACACCTTAGTCGTTCCGCAGCTTTCAAGTTGTTAACTGCTGCACGAGCCGCCATTGCTGTCCAAAATTTTGGCTTGAACCTAATTTTAAGTTTAGATTTCAAGGTTGTAGTTTGACTTCGAATAAATATTTTCTTGTCACGCTTCAAATATAGTCCACCATTTGCACATTGAACCGGACGCTCTAAAATGAAATAACTTACCCTGTTTGTCGCAGTAACGAGACTTCTAGACCTGTGACGATTCCGGCTCAAATGCATGAACCAAGTTTGATTGGTTGACTGAAAATTTTCCGACCATAAGGCATTTTCATCTTTTAAATATACGAATCAATTATGTACTTGAAAATCTTACTAAATTAAGACAGGTCAGTAGCTTATGAGTGGACGGAATGCGACACATCTTGCACCGAATGTTGTTTGACCCCGTAATGCAGTCTTCGAAAGCGCATGCTGGCGCACAATGGTAAAAAATATAACTCGGTACTCACTGCAGTGAATGACAGAGAGCGCACTTTCGACGTCGACTTGACGAGCACAATAGGGCATTTTTTCATAAATGAGAAAATGCGCTTAAAAGTGAAACGCGCTTCTTCAAGATTTCTAGTAAATTTTTGTTGCCAAAACATGAGGGGGCGAATTACTTGAAAGTACCGTGTAATGACCGTCAAGCAACAGAAGAATGTCTTTCCGCCGATGACGGTAGAAATTGAAAAAGATTATATTTTCCATAAATTGGTAGTGCAGATTATTCACTCCAAAGAATTAATTTCATGTCAACATTAAAGAAAGTTGCGTGCATCCCACAGTGACTTGCCAATCTATGCAGGCATTAGATAACATGTTACAATTTTAAAGCTTGATAGTTGCCCGCGTTCAGCGATGAGGGATCAACGACATCTAATCTCTAATCTAATCAACGACATCTAATCTAATCTTAATTCTAAATAGACTCGTGCGAACTTATGAAAGGAATGAAGAAAATCTCTAGGATTCCTCAGGTCGAATTCTAAAAACCGTTCAGCATTTAATCCTAATATCAGCTGTGCACTGAAAGTTGGAACTCAACAGTCTCCTAGAACTTTTTCGCAATGCGTACATTGGGAATTCAAATTTAAAAACGAGTTCCTGAGACAAGATTGATGAGCAAATTAAAAAATTTAGACAGATCAGTGAATTGAAAGGGGGAAAAGAAACGCATTTGAAGAAAAATTATTCGAAGAATTCAACACAAGGAAACTACCAAAACATGAGCCTTCCAATTTCAAGTTCTCAAAAAAGTGCCAGGCTCTACAAGAGATGTTTGCTTCTGTCAAGCAAGCAAAATTATTCAAATTAAAACCACGAAATTTTAGCGAAAAAAAAAATTGCACCGATACACAGAAGCACCTCAAAATGAGGACTACTTCAACAGCACCATGTTAGAATTTGAAGTAACTACAGGTTTTATTTTAGTTATCAATTGTGAAGAACATATTTCAGAACATGAACATGAGCATCACTTGACTAGTAAAAGAGCCAAGATAGCACCAGTTCAACAACAGCAAGGTTTCAACGTTTCCTTCAGCGTCCGTTGAAGTATTAGCAAGTAATTTTTTTTGCAAAATGCCTTAAAGCAGCAGTATATATTAGCCTTGCTATAGTATCCCGGACTGTACCCCTGAATCACTCACAGATATCACTTCGAGGCGTGTGCTGCAATTTTTGCCTAGATCGAAATATTTTCAAACAGGAATGACGCTAATTTCACTAATTCTTTGCTTCTGCCATAACCCTCACCAACCCATGGGTGCTTTCCTCAACCTTCAGTAACAACATGTTCAAGGATGCATTATATAGGGGAGAAAATTGGTACAGTGTTAGGATGCATACTACCACATTGGGTTTTAAACACGTTCATTGTGCATACGTAGCATAATTAACAGTAAATGAAACGGTACGAGGCATGGTAAAACAGAAATCGAGTACGAGACATACTGTGACGTGTCACGTGGCTAGTACGCAGCACGCACGAATGGTAGGTACATTATGTGTGCTATTGGCTTCGGAACAACCCACGAAGCCTTTTCAATAGGCCATCAGTGTGATAACTAGTCTCAGTAAGCATTTGAAAGTTGTTCTGGCCGCCATTACTTTCCCGGTGTGCACGCACCTTGAAAGACCATACTGGTTTTCAGCGAGACCTGCATCAAAGAACAATTATCCGGCACATACAAATTTTATGCACAAATAACAAAACTTTGGGAGTGGTCAATGATCGCAACTGTCGTCATTAACCTCCTTGCAGTTTTCCATATGTAACAATAACGTAGATTGATTGCATACAACTTTCTGTTATACTGTTGTTCATGCTTCCGACGATTCCGATATCAGAATTCAAATTCAGAAAGACACCCATCATCATAAGAAAATCTGCCTAATCTGAATCACTTTCATTGTTGAGAATTTTTCTCTTCTTTGACTCTTTTTCGACTCCAGATGTTTGAGGATCCAGTATTTCTTCAGCCTTGGCTAAAATTTCTTGAGTTACTACTACTGCATCTATGTCAACTCTCTGTCGTTTTTTGTCATCAACCATAATTTTGGAAGTGAGGCTCTGACAGTCGCTGATAATCTTTTGCTGATCATCTTTCTCTTCGCTCCAAACCCAGCGACCCTTAAAAACAACGAAGATATTATGAATAATATATTTTAAAAATGGCTGTGGGGAGATACTGGATTAGCTAAAAAGCTTCTAGATTAATAAAAATAATTTTCTATCTTCAACACATCAATGAAAACAGGACAACTTTTACATAAACTTTTAAACGTGTTAAATTTTAGAACAACCTTTCTGGGCACTCCATTTCCATCCAATGGAGCAGGGGGTTGAAGCAGTTCTTGAGCATCTTCATTAGAAATTTTGGATGTCCCCACTTGTTCCTGTGAAGAATTTCTTCTCAAAAAGTCTTTCAACCATTCTGGAACTTCAGCTTCAGGACGAACGTTAGATTTCATTGTCATTTTCCCTGAAAAATTTCTAATCATAAAGTCTTTGAACCATTCCGGTGTAGGGCTCCAAATTGGATCTCTGTCTTCTGTTGATGTCGAAATTTCTCCCTTGTAAGAAGGGTTTGGAATCTTGTGAAACTTGGCATATGCCACCAACCACCCAAATACCTGCAAAGCCGTTTCTCCATGCCCAATGAACATTATGCCTCTGACGAAAGTCGCCAGCTTGGCCTCAATATTCTTTGATAATTCAGCTTCCATGCTGTTGGTTCCTGGATAAAAATAGCAAATTTATCTTTATTATCAAATTCTCTTGAAACAAGCATGCTAAAATGCTAGCAAGGATTAGAGGAATTGATAAAAAAATTCTAATTCATCTTGATATGCTGGAAATGATAGATGACTAAAACATCTCGATTTTGAGGGTAAATGCAAAAAAATATAACTCAGTACTCACTGCAGTGAGGGACAGAGTGCGCATTTTCTCATCAACAAAAACGTGAAGTCACGGACGGACAGACGGACGGACATGTCGAGCACAATAGGGAATTTTTTCCATTAATGAGAAAATGCGCTAAAAAGAGTGACTGATATAGCTCTACCTCATCCATTAGGTTTATCTTAGTTTCTTTTTTGAAACCTGGCACTAAAGATATGGCTGTTCAAGCATGTATAGATACCACCTACTACCACTTTTTGCATCAGGACATTACATGGACCTGTAATTTCATTCTTAGTGGGAGACTAGTAAGGCACTGCAACACTCTGTAAAAAGCGTTTGATTGAAATTTCATTTATATTTATTCAATGAATTCAGCTCAAAAGATGCCAAACTCTTTTCTACTGAAATGATAATTCAGTGTTATGTAGAATTTTGGTTTGAACAGAACTAGCTTGATACAGTTTTATTTTCAGGTCTAGAATTGGCATTTGGCTATTTTGGTGCTGAATGAAAAAGTGCAAGTGATTTTTCAAGCTTGCAAGCAAATTTAGTATATAATGACAAGCCGAATGCCAAAATTTCTAATTATACAGTGGGTGCAAAACGTATCAGACACAAAGAAAAAAACTTAATTTTATTAAAGCTTATTCAACAAAATAACAAAAGTAGGTATTCTAATGTCACAAGGAATTTAAAAGCAAATAAAATGCCAAGTAAATTCACCATATCGATACTGGAAATGTTTTCAATATCGATTTGGTGAATTTGCTTTGCTTTCCTTTGCTTTTAAATTCCTTGTGAACTTGCGACATAAGCTGACTGATAATATAAATACTATTCAAAAGTAAATTTACATGTGAAATGGAAATATCGTATCAAAGCAACAATATCTGCAAGAAAGAATTCCGCTCTCGGTCACCAAGAAAAATCCCTTTCTTTAAGGAAATTCACGTAAAGAACTGCCGGAACTTTACTAAAGAACAAGTGAGTAGACCTTCAAGCTTTTGGAATAAAATATTATGGTCAGATGAAAATAAAATATAGTTATTTGGTCAGAAGTGTCAGTCGTGTTTGGAGACAGAAGAACTCTGCGTTTCACCCAAAGAATACTATACAAACAGTGAAGTTCGGAGGTGGCAGCATAATGCTCTGGGGTTGTTTATTTCCTGCAGGGCCTGGAAAATTGGAAATCATAGAAGGAAGGATGAACTCTAAGAATAATCAGGGCATTTTTGAGATGTCTCGTGAAATCAGCCAAAAAATCACACCTTCCTCGAGGTTGGATGTTCCAACAAGACAATGACCCTAAGCATGCTCCAGGGCAACTTTTGCATGGTTTAAGGAGAGGGACATTGGAATGACCAAGCCAATCACCTGACTTTAATCCGATTGAAAATGACGCGGGAGTTGAAATTGAGGGTACAGGAGAGAGGTCCATGAAATCTTATGCAATCGAAAGAAATATCCAAGACAGAGTGGGCTAAAAGTCCTATTAGCATATGTGTTAATCTTGTGAACAAGTATTCCAATCGGTTAGAAGCAGTTTAGTTGCCAAAGGTCACTTTGTCTGTGACAAAGTATTGAGTAAATTTGTTTATTATGTGTTGGATAGTTTTCGAACCAAGACTTGCAAAATTGCAATTATCAACTCAACATTTAATGATATTGTTTTGATATGATATATATACTTCAAAGTAAATTTGCATTAGAATAGTGTTTATGTAATTTTGTTGAATAAGCTTTAATTAAATACTAATGCTTTTCCTTGGTGTCCAATTTTTTCTGCAGCCACTGTATATGCCGTCTACAACTAATTGTATAAACTGCAGTTACAATTCTTAGGAACATGTCGAGCACTCAATCAAAAATTGACATCAGAAGCACAAAAAAACTGCCAAAATCAAAGATTTCATCCTCTACAAAAACAAGAGAATCAAACGCCAGGTTATGAAAAATAGTTCCTTATAAAATGTGCCTGGAACATAAAATTAGTGTATAATTTGTTTTTCAATAGAATAAGGTTGCAAAATTATTCAATGCACAAGACAACACTGATTCAATAAATACCTTAAGATGCCTTCTCAAACAACACATATATACCAAAAAGAAAACACATGAGAAAGGCTCATAAGAGCATAACATGCATGACAGTGGGACTCTAGCTTTAATCTAGGACGACTCCATAGCAACAAATTAACTTCATAGTAATCAACTTTTAGTTTTGAGTTCTATCCATAATAATTATGGTCCAATAACCTTCATTCTACTCAAAAGTATAATCTCTATCACATACATTGTAATATTATAATCAAATGCCCATTTAAACTTCATTTTTAAACTTTGTAATCCCACCGATAGTCTAATTTGCATAAATAATAAAAAATTAAGGAAAATTGTGAACAAGTATTACTCTCTCTTGTCCATCCAACTAAACTTGCAATCAAGAACTTCTGCCCAATGATGCCAATGAATAAAAAACACATGTTTATATACATTAGTAGCTTACCTTCCATCTTCAGAACTTCCTCTCAGTTTGCTCACAGAATTTGAATGATATGACAACTAGTTTTGAATTACTTTGCTGCTTCTGTCAGTCAATTTATTAGTGTTAACTAACTGAACATATTTGGCTAAATTTACTTCTGAAAATGTCATTGTTTCTCAACATTTTACACACTATTCAAAAATTATACACATATATACACACTTAAAACATTATAAACTTTAAAAATTAATTTTTGACGAGGGTCATCCATTGAAAGTTATCCTATGAATGTATCCTATTTCCATTCAAAAATAGAGTAAATGCTCATGCAAATAACATCATAGCAATGCATAACATTATCCAAATGTCAGATGCCTGGTGGAAAGTGCCTAAATTATATACTATTCATTTATCTCATTTATAGGAAAAATGACCTAAATTATAAACAGATTGAAAGGGTTTTCTTTATCTTCTATCTTTAAAACTACAGCATGATATGGCAATTATGATGGAGGTTTAAACTGATGTTACACACAGTGTATACAGTATACCTATATACATATATTATTTCTTAACTAAAACAATTATTTAAAAAATTAAAGAAGTGCAATTTTCAAATCACGAACAAAGTACAAGAAATCTAAGGAATTAAAAAAAAAAATTACTAATATTATGGCATCAACTTGTCATTAGGAGACATTGGCTAGTTTTTTTATTTGCTATTCATGTGACAAGGTCTGAAACTGAAAGATAATGCCAGTTACCAGACAAATTACCCATAATACCCCAGTTAAATTAATCTTATAGCCCCAATCAAAGTATGTTTTAGGAAATAGCCCAGTAGTATTCAACTTGTATTTTACTAACCTGAAGAAAACATATTACTAATATATAATAATACCAACCTAAATAAATAACTAAATATAATTATCTTGCTCTATGAAAAACATTTTGCAAAATATGGCTCAAAACAAGTGAAAGTTGACCATTTATTGTCTCTGAAATGCCATGATATCTTGGTGGCAATTGGAAAACAATCATGGACTACAGCACTTCAAGATGAAGTTAGAAACATAGGTACCAATTGATATAGACAGCAGATATATACTGATCCATACAAAGTTCATTGCTTGGGATCAGGCTAGCAATTCTACATGCACAATCATTTAATGTCAAGATGGTTGATAGTGAACTGAAAAATATGCCAATATCTTGCATAAAAAGGGTGTCAGCAGTATACAACGGTTTGTATTCATCTCAAATTTTTGAATTGTGGAATAGAATCAAGATTGCAATCAACAAGTATCTGGCTTACTGTCAATGAATATTGGATTGGAAAACCCAACCTATATAATAAAATCTCAGCTCCAAAATTATATTTCGAGTGAATTTGAAATATTGTGCCTCATAACTAGCATATTTTTACTCATCTAAAATTTGAAATATGTTTTTCAAGCAGCTAACTTGTTCAACAAGTGGTGAAAGCCACAAAATTTCAGTAAAAGTACCAGTTTTTCTATCCATATTAGTGGTTCAAACATCTAAATTTGGATTTAAAATATGTGAAACTTGTTAATATCCAAGTCAAATTTATTTATAGGATAACAACATAATTCAAGTGGGACAGCACCAACCATATTCATTCCATATTTCAGATTACATGAAAGGACAAAAAATAATCAACTAATTGTTTCTCGCATTCAGTTGGCACTGAAAAGTTACAATAATTGAAATTCTGCATTTATTTCAAGGCTTGTTAACTTTTTCAATTAGATAATGACAAGTAAGGTTTTTCCTCGTCAATGTTGCACTTGACCAACGATACTTTTTACCCTTTAATGGAAAGCATAGATATAAGTAGAAATTTATATTACCAATTCCAGAACAAAAAGTAATAATAAGATGGAACAACTTGCACAATTTTTTAAATTGCATATTGGAGAACTGAATAACTTGAAAAACAATTTATAAAATTAGATAAAAAATGTACATTTCATTTAAGCATATTATAAAGGGTAAGTACATAATTTTTTAATAAGATTTTATAACACTGTCTTACATAGTTGGATAGATATTGCTACATCCATCTTTTTAAAAATGCAGAGAGAGCATTAATTTTGCTGTTCAAGTTAAAATTTGCATTAAAATGCTTCAATTATAATTGATGGCTTGGTAGAAGGTAATAGGTATTATGCAAGGAACAATGGTCAGATTTTTGATAATTGGCAGAGTGCCAGAGACATGATATTGATATCTTAGCCTCTTACAGGCTGGAATTCTATGATATTGCATAAAATGCATCATTTTTGTGAAGATGCATTCATGCATAATCATCTCCATTCTCCAGACTGTCATTGCTTGAGATGTCATCCACTCCAGAGTGAGTCCAGAACCCAGACAGTGATTTGTCAGTGGGATTGTGATGTCAACCACTCTTCCAGGTGTTTTTGCCAGGGACTAACGCCACAGCCTCACAGGTGAGGCAAACTCATTGCCTACTTTTGGAGTTTCTTTGGCAACATCCCACGGACCCAGTGGCGACCCACTATACCCAGTATCAGTATGAATTGGAGAATGAAAGAGAAGTAATTATTTAAAACAGGATTTTACATTACAAATCTTTCATTACAAAAACAAAGGCAGAAGACCCTGAGGTAAAATAGTTCAGGCTAACAATAAGGATTAAAGAACTTCTGCATGGGCATGAGTGCCCACCACTTGCAAGAACTGGTGTAAAGACAGTGTGTAATGAGATACCCTAAGCAAGAGGTGAGTAGGGCCGGTAGGGTATGTTTAGTAAAAATGAATTCAGTTAAAATATGGGTTGCAGTGCCAGCTGAAAGGCTTTCAGCTGGCACTTCAAAAGTTCAACTTGCAGAGTTCCCAACTTGATGCAGACATTTTGAAATCGAAGTTCTAACTTCCGAAGTTCTAATTGCAACTGGAGTATAATGAACAACTTAACAAGAGCAAGAACGGTAAGAAATTTATCCACGAAATTATAACGTTTGAAAGTTGCTCACGGACCTCACGGTACCCGGGCCGGTAGACCGGTAAGTAGGAATAACGTAGCAACTAAGAAGACTAACGAACCAGTAATGCGGGCCTGTGGCTAGGCTGTGAGTGTGAGCATCCAGACCGACCGCCATCATCATGATTCTTGAATATTATGTGGGCTGACTGGGCTCCACCAATCATCACGTCGTCACTATTTTCCACTTCACCCGCCGATGCAGCATACTGTAAAGCCGTTAACCAACGCGACATGTAGAAACCGTTGGCCAACGCGACATGGAGACAGAACTTAGGTACTTACTTGGTTTAGATACGGCGCATCACCGACGACGGTATTAGCCGCGGTCAGCGCCCGTGGAGACAGAGGAGAAAAGGAAGATTCTGGAATCTGGAGGCCATCAATGCCACATGAGATGCCACTTGCGGAAAACCCGCTATAGAATATATACTAATTTAAAAAAGCTACCGGCATAATTTAATGTGAAACATTTCACATTTAAATAATTTTAGTAATTAAATAATTTTACATTACTTTTAAGTAACGAGTAATTAATAAATTTTACAGTAACTCTAAAATGCAAGTTTCAATTTTAAAGGAAAATACAGAAAAATATCTTATATTACTCGAATATTTAATAAATTAGTAGTTCCTGAGGCCTCGCAGAAGTGGCGAGGTATATTGTACCTACTTTTAAGTCGCGTGACACAGCGCATTCAACTGAGCGTGGCAGCATTCCATAGTCCACATAGGTAATAGCTGGCCCTAAGCTCCATCGATAGATCCCCTTGCCTGTTTCCTGTACCTCTGCTGACCATCGGCGCACCCATTCCTGGTTGATGAGGGTTTTTATGGTACAGTTCCATCCTCAAAGCACACTTGAGACCTTGCTGTACGATTATTTGAATGTGCCATATTGGCTACTTTGTCTGCAACCTCATTCCCGTGGATACCACTGTGACCCCGTATCCAACAGAGCACCACCTTGTCAAGTCCTTTGATCAGCATCAACTTGTGGATCTTAAACACAAATGTGCGATGGGAGCGTCCAGATGTAGAGGTTAGAATATGCAGGGCAGTCCTTGAATCCGTCAAAATTAAAACAGGCTCTTCCTTCAGAAGTGTATCTTCAATGGCCAGCTGCATGGCCATGAGTATGGCAAACAGTTCAGCGACGAGTGCACCGTGTGCACTCGTCGGAGCAACCAGCCAGTTGCCAACTGAGTTGATGGTACAAAGAATCCAGCAGCAACTGACCCATCAACAGACTTTGAGCCGTCTGTGTATATTTGGAAGTGTTTTGGTAGCGCTTCCTCCAAAAGTCCGTGAAGCAGTTCTGAATGGATTGATCTGACATGTTATTTAAGAAATTGTCCTTGACATTGAGAAGAATACTTGAGGCAAGATCTACTTGAGGTGGGATTGGGCTTAACATGGGCGAAGCAGCACGTCGAGGGAGAGTAATACCCAGCTTGTGGAAGCTTTCACGGGCTCTGATGACAAAAGGTGTGTTGCTGTAGGTTCCCTGGTCAGTGAATCCCAAAATGTTTGGTACAGAGTCACCTGCAGGCATGTACAGATATCTGATGACTCATTTTATGAAAAGGTACAGGAAACGAAGTTCCAGGGGTGCAACAAAGCTTTCAACTTGTAGAGAAACTATTGGAGTGGTACGGCGGGCTCCTTGGATGTATCGAAGAGCAGAGTTTTGCATAGTTTCAAGTGCCTTCATCAAAGACTTGGAGATGTCCCAGGAAATTGTGGAGCCATACTCCATCTTGCTTCTGATAAAGGCGACATAAATTTTGCGCAACAATTGTCGAGATGCACCCCACTTCACAGAGCCGAGCGCTCGAAGCACCTGCACTCGTTTCAAACAGGCAGTGCGAGTTACCCTGATGTGCTCCCGGAATGTAAGGTGTGGAGAATCAAAGTAGATTCCCAGCACCTTTTGGCAGGCCACATACTGTATATTTCTATTGCAGACTTTGAGTGTGGTTGCAGGGGCAGTACGATGTGATGTAAATATCTGGTAGGTACACTTAGCTGGGTTAAGCAGAAACTGACAGCGATTGCACCATTCACTAATCTCATCGAGGCACTGCTGCATGCGATCTCGAGCCTCAGCCATTGATAGTCCATTTACAAATAATGTTATGTCATCTGCATACCCCACAAGCGTGACATGTGAAGAGCGTGGAAGGTCATGCAGCATCACGTTGAAGAGTGTTGGGGAGAGCACAGCCCCCTGTGGTACCCCTACTCTCATGGGTTGAGACATAGATTTTGAGTTTCCAACCCGTACCTGGACAGACCGGTTTTGAAAATAGCTGTACAGCCAAGCCAGCATCTGATCTCCCACTCCAATGCGGTGCAATTTAAAAAGTAGTCCATCAGGCCAAACACTGTCGAATGCTTCCTCTATGTCCAAATATACCACCAGGCAGTACTCATGACTAGTTCGGGCAGAGGTGATAACATTTTTCAGCAGGTGCAAAGCGTCAATAGAACTTTTGCCTTTACGAAAGCCAAGATGCAGGGAAGGTATCACATTTTTACTCTCCAGAGCATACTCCAGGCGACGCAAAACCATGCGCTCCAGGAGCTTACCCATGCAAGGTAGGAGAGTAATGGGACGGTATACAGTTGGCTGTTCCAGAGACTTCCCTGTTTTGGTATTGGGATAATAGTTCCCTGTTTCCATGCGTCTGGAACAAGCCCAGGAATCCAGCTGGTGTTTAGAAGAGAGAGTAACTCTCTCTTGCACAACAAAGTGGCCTTTTTTGAAGAAGATGTTCATTATTTAATCATGACCCGGGACTGTATTTTTAAGTGTTTTCAGAGCCAATGAAAGTTCATTTTCTGTAAATGGTACACAGTTATAAAATTTTAGGCTTGATATGGCTTTGATGACTTCTGAAACTGCAGCTTCACCAGTGAAATTTCAAAATAGAAGCGGACAAATGAGTCTCAATCAAGTAGATGTACATTCAGGATAGCCTTTGAAGTGCTACTAAACATGAACTAATGGGATTTTTCGGCATGCCTTATACATGTAACCTCACTCTAACAGGGATGAGCAGAGGAAGTGCAGCTATAAAAATCTAACGCATTACTGGAGCGAAAAAGACTGCGCGTGCTACTGCTTTCCCGACGACAACTGCAGCACCGGTCAACGATACGACCACAATCTCTGCAGGTGAGACCAGAAGGACTCACGTCGCGGGAATGATAACTACATCTCTAGGTGAGAGGAAGTAGGATCAGGTCTTCAGAACAGATCGCTGGTAGTTTTGCCACGACAGAAAAGCTGAACACAACATCTGCAAGTTAGACGATGAAGGGTACAGTCTACCTGACAGTAGATCACTCTTGCAGGTGAGACTGAGAGAATAGAACTATTTACGACAGTTGATCCCACCTGTAGAACGGCTTATAGGTAGGACTAACTGCGGGACCTGGTGGTTCCAGAAGACCTCTGAGGAATGATCTCATTTGATGCATTCATAATTAGCAATTCAAGTTCTGATACAACCACTATAAATTCCAATTCATGGACAGAATTTCACTTAAACAATGCTGTTTTCTAGCATGCGTTCGAAACATAAATTCGATAGTTAGTAGAGAAGAGTGCCACAGACCACTTGTGAGGGGTAAGGTACTCTTAGAATACATTCATATTCTGCTCTCACAAATTTGTAGGTAATGGCTGGTTAGAAGTAAAGCAACACGTTTTGTGAGAAAGAATGCTAAACTCGAGTTGAATTGGAGCTATTTATTTGTTCGCGTTCATTAGTTAAATAATTTTTTGGCCTCTTAGCCATGAAGTGCGAAGATTTAAGAAGACGATGATCTAATTTCTATGATTTACAGTGATTTATCTTTTTAGACTTATTCAAACATATTACATCTAAAACTTCAGGAAGCAAACATGGTTTTCAAAAAAAGTCGATAGGACACATTGATTTTTGTTTGAGTTTTCCTCCGCCGAAATCTGTATTTGTGTCACATATGACATATCTGTTGTAAACCTTGACGGAATCACTCTTAATTATTTCTTGTTACAGATGCACGCATGTGAACTTTGCGGCTCGATTACGACTCTCTGAACTCCCATCGTTCGCTACCGGTGAGTCAAACCAGAGCAGATTTTCAACAGCGATAATTAACAACAGATTAAATGTTGTCGATAACAACAGATTAAATAAATCGACAGGTGATTAAGGAATTATTCTAACCATAGTTATCAAACTAAAAAATTATAGATTCCATACATGTTTACAAAGCTAACTCGGATACGATTCGCATCTATGACTTAGAATAACAAAGGTTTAAATGACAGCATACAATCGTAACTTGGCTCGTGAGACTTGACGTGTCATGAACACGTGGAAAATACATACTCAGAGGACCCAACCTCAAGTTAATCAACTCAGTTCGTCTATTAACAAACATTGGTAGTATTGCATTGAGTGCTTATAAACTTTTGATATTAATTTAAATTTACAAATTTTAATTTAAATATTTAAGTCCATAATACAGCCAAATAAAGTTAACTAAAATTCCCAGGTCTGGACCGCAGGCCTGCCACTCGAGTGCCCATCACGTTCGGAGGGTGAAGCGCGACGCTCGTTCACTTCCCTGCGGATTTGTTTTGTTCTGACCAACTTACAGATATAAGCAAATTATTTTCAATCAACAGCGCTTGTAGCCTTCTATGAGACCTGAATTGCAACATTATTTTCTATAATTAAATTCTGAAGTTAAACACACTCGTGACAAACGAGTACTTTCTGGGCATCGATATTTTAAAAATTTAGTACCTAAATATTGCAATGACTTTAGAGTGACGTATCAGTAAGCAAAATTTTTATCGTTTTATCTATGAATAAGGAAAGCGGTCGGCCGTTAGTGTCGTTCAAAGCAGCTGGACACATGGCTTCTATTATTATCCCAGCCGCAAGCAAAATAATGTTAATTGGAAGAATCATTTCTAACTGCGCTGACTCACCAATTATAAGATATATATACTCATTGCGATAAAGGACTCATTAAAAACTACCATATCAAAATTCTAAATTATAAATCTCACATTGTCTTTAACAATTTCCAATAACAGCCGTTGATTTTGCATGGACGGTCATCGTAAAACTAAAATTTGGTCAATATAGAGTTTTTTATTATTATAGACAAAAGATTTATATCATGTTGACGTTTGCAGACGACTTGCAATAAGTAAGAAATAACTCGACGGTGAGCTCGCAACATTAAGAATATTGCCGTTAATTTTAACGTGAATTACACAGCCTTTCGTCAACAAACGTTATACGAAGTTGGATTATTTTGTATGCAAATGGTAGCG